ACGCAGAGTTAAAGTAGTTTTCGTGGTGACAATACCTGCTGATGAATACGACGATCGGAAGAAAGTAGAGAATTTATCGTCATTTCCTCTTAATCTTGGAACCGAAAAAAATGACTCAAATTTTCATTTTAAAATGACAGAAACATTCTAGGATACATCCTGGTGTAGTTTATCAATATCTCCAAAATGTTCCTAGAGGAGAAAAAACGGAAAATGAAGATGGATATACTTCTAAAGAGCTCGACATACAGGAACAGATTGGCCAGGATACGCAAAACCCTGGAAAGGAATGAACAATTAGTCCTGCTGGCTGATAAAGGAGGAGCTACGGTGATAATGGACAAAAAATAATATACCGAGACGATGGAACATATTCTACGAGACAGGACCACATATCGTATACTAACCAAGGATCAAAATATGAAGATCAATGGAATCTTAAGTGCCATGCTTAAAGATATGCATAGGATTGATTAAATTGACGCGTGGACAAGAAATTCAATCATAAGGAAGGAGGTATGACCATCAATAGCCTACAAATTACCAAAGGTACACAAAGAAGGCGAGCCACTAAGGCTGATAGTTAACAACAAGTATGGAGCAACACACAAATTGGCAAAATTTATGTTTAAAACTCGAGAAATTAAATGAGAGACTATCAAACACGGTGAAAAATTAATATGAATTTTCTCAAAAAATCAAAAACATGGCACCCGAAAAAACGGACTTATTGGTAATCCATGTATAGAAATATCTCTGGAGAAAATCTCTAACAGCCCTGCTAGAAATCCTGTACCAAGAGAATAATATTCTAGAATCATAACATGTCAGGAGGGAGATATTAACATGAATAAGCAAATTGACTATAATGAAAATCTATTTTACATACATCGGGACAGATATTTGGACTTATCATGGGATCGTCACTTTTATCGCTTTTGGCAAATGTATAAATGAATAAATTAGCATAGAACTTTAAGATGTCACCGCTACAACCAGCAGTGCTCATGCGCTACCTGGATGATTACTCCGCACTTTGGTCACATAGAAGAGAAAAACAGAAAGAGTTTCTAAAGTTTGTAGACCAGATTGATGAAAACATTAAATTCACGATTGAAGTAGAGGAAGGTGAGAGGTTACCGTTCCTGTACATTGAAGTGATTCGCTCTAATGGGACGCTCAAAGAGAAATTGTTCAGAGAGAAGTCCTATACCGGGATAATACTCAATTTCCGGTCCCATCACAATTGCAGGCTAAAGATTGGAATAATGAGGAGCATGATCATCCGAAGCCTACGCTTAACGAATGTGGAATTTCGGGATGAAGAATTAGAAAAATGGACTTAGATACGCCTTGGAAACGGTTACCCAAGCGAGGTAATACAAAGGAGTATACGGGCCGTGAAAAGCCGATGGCAGAACGGGAACTACGAAAGAACAATAAGGATTGAGAAGGATTCACAAAAGTGGATATGCCTAGCTTCTTGTGAACTAACCCAAAAACTACGGCCAATACTAAAGAGAGTGAATATTCGGGTGGCCATGAAGGAAAAAACAACAGTCCTCACAAGTCTACCGACGCAACATTAAAGGGTGGACAAATTGGATTGTTCAGGAGTTTAGTGCACCTGCAAACCGAAGTATTTTGGCTAATCACAGAGAAAAATTGGCATACGAATCAAGGAACATCAAAGACTCTGCAGGAAAATGGATACTGAAAGATCAGAAGTAGCGGAACACAACGCATGGACTAGACACGAGATCAATTGGAAGGAAACAGAAAGAAGGGTCCTATACGGTGACAACACAAGGAAGCGGAAGATTATGGAGACCATTGACATCCTTGGGGAAAAAAATTAATGAACAGAAGGCAGAGTCAGCCATAGCTTTGCCTAGTGCTTAAGCAAACTCGAGGAAAACAAGAATACACAAGATCAGCAAAAGGGATCGTGATAAAAAAAGGGGTGGGGGCTTTTGGAAATCAAGTGAAGACATTCTCATTGAGTGAAATCTGTTCGAAGCAACCAGTCCAACTATGAGGGCCTAGCAGTCAAGAAACTGGGCAGACGGATAAGCACAACTGTCAAAGAAATTCGGCGTTATGGCCAAAATGTACAAGAAATCCACTTGAGATGCCGCATGCGACCAAAGTTAGGTTTGCACAGTTTTCTCAGATAACATGGGTTCAATCAAAGAGAAGACCCATGAAGGCGATGCCTGATATCTGAAAGCATGGCAATCAGAGCTTAGGCGCTCTGTTCGGTGAGGCGGCAGTTTACGTGTTTCTAGGGCCTTAAGAAATAGCGCCTGTAGTGAAACGCACACCAGGACTCGAACCGAGTGAAATCGGTCAACCAGAAAGGTAGGGAACGGATCTACGGGACAATGAAGAAGATCCGGATTGGAGGCCCGAGTCGGATTAGCCGATCGAAAGAGAGGTGGTCGGGGTGAATAGCAAATGTGATGAGGCCACACTAGATTTGCCACAAAAGGACACACATTTTATCGAGTGGAATGTAAACAAGTGGGAAGTTGTGATAGGGCGGCAGTGGGATTAGAGGAAAAGAGTAGATAGATAGACAATGACAGAAAGAGGGTTGATAGTGTAACCGTTTTCGGCAGAACGTTTGTCGAGGGATTTACTTCACTTGACTCTTTGACGAGTTCGTATCTTGGTGCGGATAATGGCAAAATTCACTGATGATACACGAAACGTTTGAGAATGTACCAAGTCCACAGTCTGATGCCGGGAATCATTACAACTACTATGGTCGACGACTTCGGACTGGGTGCGTTCCACTAAGTCGCCCTGACAACAAGACCAAGTTGCGTCAACGAGGTCAATCTACTTCTATAAATAGGAAGGAGACTGCGACCATACCAAGGGCCACACTATCTTGGTCTTCATATCTATGATAAAATTATGTTCTTTGTAATTTATTTAGTGAGCTTTTGTAAATTTTCATTTCATATAAAAGTATCTGATGAAAAGATTCGTATGTCGATCTCACCGGAAGACAGCGATTGATACCCGTTGTCCTGTAGCCGTTTGGCTTTAATACGATGTTCAGGTTAAAACAATCAATTGCACATCCCCCCGTCTCATGTGAAAACGTGCTAAGCTCTGGTCCATTAGATGATGGGCTGTCCCAGAACTGGGACAGAATCTTGCAAAAGTCTCAAGCTTACGCTAAGTCACGAAGACTAACTGGCTTTGCCATACAGGCCATAGACACTCATGATTAAAGATGAAAGTATGGATAGGTAGATATAAAATTATTTGATTAGTTTGCTTCCATATTAATCAGGGCACTTATACAAAAGTGTGCTTGTATGCAACTATGGAGACACATAACATTTACGGAGCAATGACAGACCCATTATTTCAAGTATGTCCTGTTTATTCGTAGATTCAACTGGATCACCTGACTCTTAATAGTCCTCGAGGATCCTCTTTTACTTATTCTCTTGATTTTCCTTAAATTTCTGACAAACGTGTGGTATAGGAATTTCGCCAAAATTCTTTCGCTAATTCATGCTCGTAGTTAGTAGGCCTTCAAAACTATCTTGAATAGGAGCTGTATCCACTACAAGTCGCATGAGGTGAATGGCCCGAGCGACAAATTGTTCCATAACTCCCCTCTCCATTACGTCTCAACTTCTTTATCTGGAGAGCCTGGACATGCAGCATACGAAGACTTAAAGCTCTTCATCAAAGGTCAGAAAAGTATTTTGGGATAATGACTAGTCTCAAGACTTTGAGGCAGTCAATCCTAAAGCTGAAATGACTTGCAAATCTCTCTTGCCAACCATTTTGCAGTAGATAAAGATGAACTTCTCTTTTCATACTAGCGAGGCGTCACTTGTTATTGTGGTCATTCTATTTTAATAGATAACATACTTTTGCCAACATACAAGTTGTCTAGAGAAAAGTAATGACTTACCTCCTGGAAAAACTTTGGTGCAAGGCCTTTGGGTTTATTTTCATGTATTGGTACTAGTTTCCAAGTAGTCCCATCGAATTGAAATAGCTAAAAGAGACAGACAAAAACTTGAAGAGTTGGAATACAATATAATTGAATTTGAAGAAGTCAATACAATCAATAGATTTTGTACAGAACCGTTTTGCTATAACCTTGTATTCATCCACTTATTATAATTACTCTTGAC